CCAGATCTCCTAACCGCTCGACGCATGATAAACCACGCGCGTCACAACATTTGCTAGCAAGCGTTAGAGGCTTAGAGTGAGCCAAGCTGCAATCGCGATTAGCATGGCGCGGGCTGTGTCGCGACGGCAAGCGCATGTGGATCTACAACGTTCTAGATACAGGAGTCTCAGAAAGAAGAATGTCTTATCCTTTATTTGAAACATAATGGGCAACTCCGCTAGTGCTGAAGCAGATTCGACCTTCTTTTTGTGACATGACAGTAATCGGAAGTGGAAGCAAAGGCTCGCACGGTTCCTCCAAGACTTCTGCGTGGCCTGCGCAAAATGCTGGCAAGCTCCGAGAATTCTGGCATTGGAGCTGGAAAAATTACACCTAAGACAGTTACGCTGCAGGCAAGCACTGCGAACTGTCTTCGGGGTGGCACACAAGGCGGACCTTTCTTTGTCGATCCTCATCTGGCATCTCGTGTAGTCATGAGTCATGAACACATTACTTTGAAAGTCCAGTTCGTACTCCACATAGAACAGGTATGCGTGCACAGAAGCTCACAAGAAACGTTCTGTACTAACGCACGCTTCAAACAATCTAGCTGGGCTTCAGGACAAGTTGAGCAAGCAGGCTACGAATAGTCAGCAGGAACAGACTAGAGTTCTCCAGAAGTATCATGTTGCCTTCTTGCCCATGAGCCGCAGCGCAGACTTCCGTGGCTTGTTGAACGGTGTGCGCCTGCTTTTTGCAGCTGCAGGCCGCTTCTGTAAAGAGGCAGGCCTTTTCAAGGCATGCGTTTTTTCCTGCAAAACCTCTGCGCTTCTCTTCTCGTTTAACGGAAGGGAAGCTTTTTCGCACGTCTGGGCAAATTCTGACCACGCTTTCGTGTTCCACGGAGACTGCGCTGCTGCCCTTGCCAAGACTACGCCAGGGTCAATTTGGCGAACTGTCGGCTTCTGTAGAGCCAGAAAGTGAGGCAGCGCTTTGCCAAAGCGCAATATGTGCAACTTAAGGCTTAGCGTACTTCGATGCATGGCTTGCGTTTGGCGAAACCATGCCTTGACTTCTGCGTGCAAGGCTTCGTTGGAGGTGGTTCCTGAAGGAAGCAGGGCAGCATACCTCTCCGGAAGCATCCGCCGTGCTTGGATATTGTTGAAAAACCAACCAAACCGCGACGGAGCCGTCGCGTTAAACAACAACTGATGCCCAGTCTTATTGGGGCCTGGAATTTTACGAGCCATCTCCTGAGGATGCAAACGCGCCAGCGCTGCCATGGCCTCTATAAAGCAGTAGCGGCTTTGCCACGGAAGATGGGGATCCAAACTTGCAAGAATCTCGCGAGCTCTCCTCTCTGGCATGCCACCAGTCTGAATCAAGTCTCTTTTATTGGACTCTGCCAGTGAAAGTGGTTGAGCATTTAGCCCCTTGAAAGGCACGCTCGGAACGGGCGCATGCATCTCAGAGGGCGCTGCTGTGAACTTGGCCATCATAGCGCGAAGTACTCTGGATGCTGCAGTGCGCTTTCGCGAGGATCCATACTCAAAGGTCATGGGCAAATGGGTTGGATCCAAGCAAAGATATGCCAGATTCGGAAAAACATTCTCAAGCGCTGCCAGCAATTTTGGTGACGGATCATCCGTATGCACAAGCCGCACTTGGGAGAATGCAGCTGCTGGCAGTGATGCCTCTAGAGCTTGAGCTATGACTGCGCTCTGCTCATCAGGGACTGGCACCATAGCCAACACCCAGCCAGTGCGCCCGCGCACTGTCAGCACCTTAGTCACCACTACATGTAAAAGCGAAGCAAGCTGCAAGCATGACTATAATTCCATGAAACGGCAGACAAGCAACTCTGTAGACTGCGTCACCCTGACCCGTGTTCTTCTTTTTGCGCAGCTTCCAGTCTGCTTGCCCTAAAAGGGGCATGCAGCACTTCCTTAGTTGAGTAGTTCAGCGGGCTTCTTTCTAAAGGTCTGTACGTAAATGTACTGATGAATAAAGCCTTCCGACTAAAGCATGGATCATTGTGCCATCGATGCTAATGGAGAAGAACTCATTCTGAGCCACAGCAGCGCGACCTAACCTGTCCAGCTGCCCAGAAACAGCCTCGGACATGAAGACGTCCTCTGCAAGCGGCCACCAGTGGCGCACATTCTGCGGGAGCAGACTGCAGAGCTCCGAGCCCGCTAATGTGAGCCGCGCGCAGATTCTCGAGGCAGCCTCGCGGGAGGATGGATCTTGCAACATGCAATCGCAGGGCCAATTATTTAGGGCCAATTACTTAGTGACCTTTCTAACTTGCAGGCAGGTTGCTGTCTTCATCTTCGCTTGGTTGAGGAGGAGCTCTTGAAAGAGCAGATCAGCAAAGCCGTGGCTATAGTACAGGTTTTTCACACGGCGGACAAACTGCAGACAAGCTCTGTGCTTGAAGACAGGCCCTTTCTCCGTTAGAACAAGCCGAATGTGCTTGTCTACGGAGTTCTCCTGCGGGTCTAGACCCGGCGCGCAGGTTCGCAGGAATCGCGCGCTTCGCTGCAGATAGCCGGGCTTGCAGGGCTGGTTGGAAACTTGGTCGTTGTCAAACAACGCCTGGATGACGCGCAGCTGCTTCGTGCCACTGCAGCAGTACTGCCGCTTCTCCACGTGGTAGGCCCGCAAATGACGCTGAAGCCTGTCAGCGCGAGGGAATGAGCGCGCTGGGCAAAGCTTGCAAATGTGCCGGCTGACAGCTGGACGACTGCTGTTCAAGGCGCAAGACACTTCTTGCTGCAGCAAGCGCAGAAGTGTGTCACCTATGGTGACGGGGCCATCTATGTCGGGGCACTCGACAGATTGACTCATCTCACAGCTTCCATCATCGCTGTCATCAGAATCCTTGCCGGTAAGTTCATCAGTAAAGAGAGATTCGTCCAAATTTTCTTCATTCCCAGCTGCGCCGCCGAGCACATCAGGCGGGTAGGTCTCCACAGGCAGTGGCAAGACGCCAGGGTTGTTGCTAGAGGCACTTGCCAGGACAGCTTCAACAAAGAACGCGGCGTGCGAATTGGGGCCTCGGTTCACATGAGGCCGAAGCACACACACAGGCAATTTGACGCCGTCCACCCAAGCCGTGAAGGCATAGCTGGTCCATCTAAACGCAAGCACATGTAGGTTGTCGCGCGGCGGGAGAGG